ACAAAGTAAGGCACTTAATAGTCTGAATAAAAAAAACAACAACAATGATGACAGGGACCAAATAACAATACATTTATGACAATATAATAATTAAAATATAAGCTAAAAAAACCAACACAAACAAACTACAACCCAAAACACATATTTGAAGGGCATTGAAAACAAAGAACAGCATGAGATTCCTTACCCTGCCTTTTCAAAATTTCCATATTTACTTCACAAAGTTTTGTTGAGGATGAGACAGATAAAGTTGATGGCAATAATACTGACATGTTTATGGGGTTTGTATTTCTGTTATGTTCGCAGGTATTTTAGATTTAGGGCTGCTCTGAGGTGCAAGTATAGGAACACGTTTGAAGGAAAGGGCAGGGTTATCTGGGGCAGATCAGGAATCCTGAGAAGGAAGAGTGGATGTACTCGGTAGAATAGAGGCCATTTGCCTGATCTGAAGGCATCTGGACCCATACCTGGTCACCCTCCTTCAGCTCTAGAACAGCACTACCTGATGCCTGGTCCATGTAGCCTTTCTTGTATTCATCGTATGTATAAGTTGCTGGTACATTGTTCATGTACAGTGCCACCCACAGGCTAGTTCCCTTAACATGCATATGGTATGCGAAGTAATAGATACCAGATAAAGGAGCAGTGAACATGCCAGTAGAGGAGCTGTAGGAATTTTGCCCATTGTACAGGGTCCTGTCAAATTTGATTGGCATGCCTGAGGGAGGGAAAGGTGTGGTGAGGATGGCTGTGAAGGCAGGTGCTACAGAGGCAGAGAGAGGAACTTGTGTGAACACAGGCCCCTTCTGGCCTCCTGGTATTTCACCCCCTTCCAACTCTGAACCTGCTGGCCCTGCAACAACTGTCTGGCCATTTCCTGGAGGACCAGGGGGCCCAGGAAGCCCAGGAGGGCCTGGATTACCATTAAGCCCAGAAGGGCCAGGTTTCCCTGGGGGACCCTGGGGACCTATAGGTCCCTTCTCTCCCAGCCTACCCAGGCCTGGAGCACCTGGAAGTCCAGGTTCACCCTTTGAGCCAGGAACACCCTGTGGCCCCATGGGGCCC